AGATGAGAGAAGCAGGCCCCAGATGTCCACTTTTATAAACTGTCCTACTGGTCCATGTACTGTGATAAATTCACAACTCTACTGATTTCTACTGATAAAACCACAGTCCTCTTCTTGGTGTTGGAGCTTTTTAGGTTGGTGTACACATTCTCCCATGGTTTCCTCTTACCTGCAAGTGATATATCGAGGTAATATGAGTTTTTGGCACTGACAAAGTGTAAGACTGATATAATACGGCGGGGACAAGATACACAGGCTGTTAACATGTGAATCCTATCTGTGTTGACTGTACAAATACTTCCAATGTATTAACACACACACACACACACACACACACACACACACACACACACACACACACACACACACACATATATATTCAGTGTATGTGTATATATATATATGTATATATCAATACTCAATACTATTTTTGATTTCGAGGGGATAAAAAAATGACAAATACTTTAAAAGGCATAGAAAATATTTTTATTAACATGAAAAACTGAACGGCAGATAAATAATCAGTTAGGATTATTGTCAGAGGAGTTTGTATTTTCTAAGGAGATGTAGTCTGTGAGCAGGTTTTTCCAGTGTATGATGTGTATGGAGTTCCGAGACTTCCAGTTCATGAGGATAGTTTTCTTTCTCTGACAATAATCATAACTCTACCTGGTTATCAATCATCACTTTTCTACAATCATAATCTGCCACAAACCAGTCACAATATCATCCATCTCAGTTCTCTGGCACTTTCATTCCCAATTTTCTTTTTTTTTTTTTTCTTTTTTTTTTAATTGATTAATTAATTAATTTATTTTTTCACTATTTACCACTCGGGTCCCTGCTGGGTTGCGCCTGTTAGGCCATGACCTGTGATCTCCTTGCCCTCCCGGCCTCCCCCCTGCCCCCTCCTCCAATTCTCCACCCTGGACTGTCTTCAGATGGCACATCACCTTTTTTAATGCACATCACTATAGTTTAGGAAGAGGAAAGGGGTCTCAATCACATCAAATTATAGTTCATGACAACCCCTCTCCTCTGTTTTAATGCACAACATTAGAAAGCACATATTTGAGAGAAATTAAAAATAAAATAAATAAAGTATATCAAGTAAATAATAAAGACTAAATATACATCTAGACATAGGGTAAGGTGTTGTGCCGCATTCAGTCCAGGGCATGCAGGAGTTGGGGGGGGGTCTGGAATTATGTTCTGTGTAATAAATTGGCGGGAGGAGGGATTAATGACTTATACTGCAGCTTATCACCAGAGGGTGCTGTTCTTGGAGTGGCTTCACCCACTGGAAAATAAAACCAGATGTCGTTGGTAAATTAAAGTTATTTTATTGGCACAATGATTAATTGATAAATAATACAAAAACACAACGAAAACATAACCTAGGAGACAGAGGCCGGTGGGTGCTGCTCAACACAAAGGGAAAAAAGGTAACGAAAGGAGGACTCACTAAAGGAGGAGCCGATAATTATCTACGAAAATGAAGGAGATGTCAAAACTCAAGATTCTAATTCACTTTACCAGAACCAAAAATAAATACAAGGGGGAGTCAGCACCCCATATACCTAGTATACTCGAATACAGAGTTCAACTTGCCAATGTTAGCTGAACGGTATCATTTTTTGAAACCCTGTGTCATTTACAGAGTCTAGTGCCCCGTTTTAGCCTAACAAGTTACAATATCGGGAGGCACATGGTGAGCTGTGGGTTTCTAAGGCAGCCGTCCGGACTGCCACGCTCATGGAGCTCATGTAGCCTCAGCATCCAGCTGCATCCCTGCAATTGGTGGACAGAGGGAGGACAATGCCAATCATCATGCTGAGTGCTGCCGGAGGCCGCGCCCCCTTTGGCTGGAGCCAGTAATGAGCTGGAGTTGACTCACTGAAATATACATAAACAAGCTATGCCGACAAGAGTTAAACAATGGTGGGAGCCATAACACCCTTCCCCTTAAGACACAAACCAATAGGTATTGTTGCTAAATAACCACATCATTACTTACCACAACCCGGGGCCTATTTTACGAAGCAGGATTACTGCTTAGCAAGGTAACTTCGAGGGTAAGTTTGGGGTTTCCTGTTCGATGACATGGGTTCACTTCTTAGCAAGGCGAGTCTTCACGGCAACGTACGCTGAACGGCTAACCTGCTCTAGGGAAGGTTAGGTTCCAGATTGAACTCACCGAGTATAAAAACCTCGCCCACTGACCAATGAGCTCTCTCGAAAAATGGCTTGTCCGCTCTTGGAGGATCCTATAGACCTCGGTGCTTGCATTGTCTGAGAAGCACTCCGGCGCGCGAGAGTTTTTAGGGACCGCATGGACCCACTTACTTTTCCTGATGACCACCTTTATGAAAGGCTCATATGGCCTACATATCACACAAAAAATGTAAACATGATGAATGAACTAATGAATGAATTCATCTTGAAATTGAATTAGACATGTCTGGTGCATGTTAAAAGTGCATGTTGAACAGTGCTAATTCAGGGTGATGATGGCATCAAGGATTTTTTGCGCACTATACTTACACATTGAGACTGTCGGCAATTTTCTGCCAGCATTCCTTCTGTGCTTTTGCAGCAGTGACAGTGTTGCTTTTGAGGTTTATGATAGATTTGAATTCTTCATACTTTCTCATGATCGTCTCCTGCTCCTCGTTTGTAAAGTACGTGGTCTTTTGCTCTCTGGCCTACTCTGATGCTCCAGACTGGTCCATGTTCGCGTTTGGTCAGATGCAGTAAGTTGAGCGAGGTAAGCGAGGTAGCCTTGGAGCTACCTCGCTCAACTCGCTAGGTTGAACCTGCTTCATAGAATAGGCCCCTGGACAACACGTCTGCCATCACATTGTCTGAACCCTTTTTATGATGGATTTTGAGGTTGTAATCTTGCACGATCAAAGCCCACCGCATGAGTCTCTGATTGTGGTTATACATGTGGGACAGAAAAACGAGAGGGTTGTGATCGGTCAGGATTACAACTGGCAAGGAACTGGAGCCTTCATACACCTTGAAGTGCTGAAGTGCTAACAACAAAGCAAGTGTCTCTTTTTCAATGGTGGAGTAGTGAAGCTGGTGCTTGTGGAACTTATGCGAAAAGTAACATACAGGATGGTCAACTCCATCACCATCCTCCTGCAATAGCACAGCACCTGTACCCACAGCACTGGCATCCACCTCCATTTTGAATGGCTTGCAGGGATCAGGAGCTGCAAGCACAGGAGCATGGCTTAGGAGAGCCTTCACATTTTCAAAGGCCTGTTGGCATTCAGGAGTCCACACAAACTCAAACTCAGCAAGCCTGTCAGCGGATGTGCTACGGTGGAGGAGTTACTACAAAAGCTGTAATAACCTGCCATGCCTAAGAATCTGCGGGGAGCTCATCTGGTTATCGGAACCGGACACTCAGCTATCGTGGTTATTTTCCCTTCAACTGGGCGCACTTCCCCTTGGCCTATCTGTCTCCCTCTTTCAAAAAGGTGGCTCTTTCAAAATCACATTTTGCTAAATTCAGCGTCAGCGATGCTTGGGCAAGACGGGTGAACACCTGCTCAAGTATCAAAATGTGCTCCTCCCAAGTGGTGGTGTACACAATCAGATCATCCAAATATGCATTACAGTTTGTCAACCCAGATAGCACAGTGTTTACCAGTCGCTGGAACGTGGCTGGAGTGTTGCACATACCGAAAGCCATGACAGTGTATTGCAAGAAATAATCGGGAGTCACAAATGCAGAAATTTGGGAGGCGTGGTCTGTCAAAGGCACTTGCCAATAGCCTTGGAGCAGGTCTAACTTGCTCACAAATTTGGCCGGACCCAAATTACTAACACAGTCTTCCATCCACAAACCTGGGTATGAGGCAGGGACTGTGGCGGCATTTACCTTGCGAAAATCAGTGATGAACTGGGGAGAACCATCAGATTCACCTTCTAACAGACACTGTGAGCTCCAGGGGCTGGAACTGGGCGTGGCCAATCCGTGCTGTAGGAGGTACTCTGCCTCAGTTTTTATCAGCGCACGATTTGTGGGATTAACACGATGAGGATGCTGTTTAATTGGCTTCGCATCCTTAACATCAATATCGTGCTCGAGGACATTTGTACGGCTCGGGACATCAGTAAACAGACATGGGAAACGACTTATTAAATTTGTTACATCGCGCTGCTGCTTGTCTGTCAAGTGCTCTAAATAAGACGGCAAAACTTTCAACATTTTGGATTTTGGTAACCGAGCACTTTAATTAGCCGAGTTGCGTTCACCAACCTACGCGCTAGAGATGGCATGTTTTACTCTCAATGTTTCAAGGACCTGCTTGAAGAGATTTGACTGAAAATCTGTGCCCTGATCAATGTGGGTTACCCGCGGAAGACTGAATGTGGAGGAAAACTTTGTTAAAGCTTGGACCACAGATTTGGATGTTATTTTTCGTAACAGAATGGCTTTGGGGAACCGAGTGGCAGTGCACATGGTGGTGAGTAGGAATTGATTCCTGTTTTTTGTGCGAGGTAATGGTAACACAGTCCACTAATACCCGTTCAAATGATTCTCCTATTGCAGGTATTGGATACAACGGAGCTGGCGGGATAGTCTGATTTGGTTTCCCCGCAATTTGGCAAACGTAACAACACCAGCAATATTTGGACACGTCACTTTTCAAGCCGGGCCAAAAGAAATGTTTGGGAATACACTATGTTTTCATTCCGCCCAAGTGTCCCGACCACTGGCTTTCATGCACTACAGACAATATGTGTGGGCGAAACACAGTGGGGACAACTATTTGGTAAACGGATTTCAAATCAGAATCATCAGCAACATAAGACCATTTATGCACCAAGACATCTTTATCAAATAAGTAGGCTACCTTTTCTCCACTAGCCTTGTCAGCACTTACCACACTGGCGAGGCACTTTCTTAGTGTCGGATCAGCTCTTTGAGCGGCGCACAGACGTTCATGGGTTACCAGGCGCGTAATGCCATCAAAGGATGGCTATTCTGGGCTGGTGGCGTGCACCAGCTTGGCGGTAACATTGCAGGGAAACACCACCGCAGTCTCTGTCTCATTCTCCATGTTAACATCATCTGAAAAAGCAGACATAAGCACACTGTCAGACAAAGACACATAATCATTTTTATCTTTGAGTGCTTGGGCGCGAGTGACTGCCCAAACAGGGTATAAATCGGAATTTGCATGTGTTTCATTACCAGCTTTGATGCGTTGAGGGGAATCCAACACTTCCAGCGCAGGAGTCACTTTACCACTGGCTATATTGTTACCCAGTAACAGAGCAATACCAGTGATTGGCAGGGCTTGACAAACAACGATGGGAAAGAAACCAGTGTTTAGTTTTGATTGCATATGTACGTGGTGCAAATTCCAAATGGTGGTGGTGGTGGTGGTGGTGGGGGCACTTTACTGACACCACCTTTACAACTTTATAATTTAGGCTATTTAACTCCAACGGCTGCAGAATTATGGATTACACATTTATCAAACCTGTGACAGCACTATGACCAGCAGTCAGTTTTAATTCTAAAGGAGTAGGCTGTCATACACTGCACAACAACATCCATTCTCTAAAAAATGTAATGTGATGATTTAAAGGTCCCATGGCATGCCAATTTCACACAACTTAAAATAGTCCCCTGGTGTGTTAAAAGCATGTCTGTGACGTCCTTCGGTCAAAATTCGATTTGGATCAATTATTTTAGTGCTCTTTTTATCAGCTAAAAACAGCTCCGCTTAAAATCCTCCGTTTTTGGCCATGTCTCTTTAATGAAATGAGCTGCACCTAAGCCACGTCCACTTTACACCCATCTCTCTGGAAGGGGCTGTGGCTGTGCTCCGATAGCCATGTGCTAATGTTTACACTGGCTCGGTCATGGCTGCAAGAAGATCGCTCGTACAACCCTACCAGTTTGAGCCAGAGTCTGACCCAGAGGGAGAGGCTCCGCAAGAAACTCTTAGCCGCGTTCAGACCAAACGCGACTTGAAGCGACCTAGTCGACACATCCTATGTATTATTCAAGGAGGGTCACACTTAAGAAGGAAGATATGAATGTAGAAAAAATTACAACCAGAGCTCTGCTACAATGTAAGATTTTGGTGCTCTAAAACTTCTCTGAAGCCTTTGCTAATTAATAGGATGGCCGACCATCCAGCATTAGCCGGGACGTCCCGTATTTGAGCCAAAAGAGGCGCGTCACCGCACGGGTAAACGCTAAAGCTACATGCTGCTCCAGAGGGGGATTTTGTCCCCTGCCCACTATCAGCGTTTTCTGTGAGTGTTGCATGACTTTGGGTGAGAACAGAGATGAACACACTGTCAGCCACGTATTTATTTATTCATTTTTTAGTTTTTAGTTCTGCTTTTGTACTGGCACTATACTGGGGCAGCTGTATACCCTTTCAACACCTTATTTTCTATATTTACATTTGTATTGAATGGACACTTTATCATGACTGCCACTTGTTTTACAGAAAACAAATTATTTGTCATTCTCCAGTGCAGAGCCTTTACTTTTATTTATACAGCCGCTTTATTTCGTTTAAGTTTGTTTGTTCAAGGTTTTCAAAAATGTGATAAAGGTTCGCAAAACTAAAAGAGAGCTTTCTTGAAAGCCACATGTTTAAGCTCTCAAATACTTTTTGAATTTTGTTTCTATCTACTACAGAGGCAGAGATAGCAGCTTTTTTGTAAACCTCAACACTTCAGAAAACCTCAGGATCTGGGGGCCCTTCTCAAAATGGCCCTCAGGATTGTGTTTTTTTCTATTGAAGGATTTCTGCAATTGAGAAATATTTTATTTTTGTTGTTATAATAATAATAATAATACTACATAGTAATACAAAACTATCTGTTCAAAATTCTATCTCTTTTTGTGTGTGTGTGTGTGTGTGGTGTGTGTGTGTGTGTGTGTGGGGGGGGGGGGGGGGGGGGGGGGCATTGGAGGGGTGCTCGCCCGGGGAGTAATTTGGTCTAGAACCGCCACTGGTTATATTACAATAACTATCATATTCCAGGAAACAATATTACTGTTAAACCTATTCAATGTAATATTTACAGTTTCAATTTCATAATGAGATGACTTTGTAGCATAGAGCTTTTATTTAATTCAGTTTCAAATCTTCCAACAAAATCCAGTTATTTCACTTAACATTGGCTTTAACTCATGCAAATTCAATTCAAATTCAAAGATAGACATTACATAACATTTTGAAGCTGCTTCAAATACATTCAGCACTTACAGGGATAATTCAGATTTTTTGATATTATGTTGTATGAGCTCCTCTCCACCAGTGTGGTTTATCAGCAGTGACTATTCCCCCACTGCATCCTATGAGTGGAGTTTTGGTGCGGTTTCCGACAGGCAGAAAGTAGTTCCACATAATTGATTGGTTCACATAGATAAAGCATTTTGCACCAAAAAACAACATATTTTCAAATGAGTTTTCCATTTGCATCACAAATTCATTGTCGTGAAAAACATCTGACCTCTCAATCTCAATCTTAGGGCTCTATTTTCGTGTACACTGGTGAGGCAACGGAGGGTGGCGGACCCCGCGCAGTTGTATCTTCGTCTGGCGGAGCCCGGCGTACAGCCAGTTTGGTATTTTCGTGGACTGAGGCGCACGGAGGTGAACCGAGATCCACCAAGCTGGGCGTGGTGGCGTGGCAGGGGGAGGTGTTGACAGAGTCAGCGGGCGCAGTGACACTTTTCGTGCTTGCCAGTGGCGTGTAAAGTGCGCTGAAAGCTCGCCGATTCAAACCTGGTCAGCTTTCAGCGCAGGCAGAGCGCAGCTAGTCTAGTAGTATTTTGGTAGACCAGCGGCGTACCGGCATACGTCACCGATTCCTCACCGGCAGGTTTCCACAGTGTCAGGCACATTTCAGTGCAATAAATAATCATCAGCAACTAATAATCTGAGTCAGCACAGATTGGGATTTTTGCAGAACCCCATCAAGTGCATAAAATTGATATTTTCTCATTATTATAACAATACTTTGCGTGACACAGACATTTTTGAGCACATTAACTCTTTAGAACAACAAGTTTATTTGGAACCAATAGACTCATGACATATATATCTTCTGCGGCACACTGAACCCATGAACCACCAACTGGTTAGTTCCAGGTAAACTCTTTTTGTGAACAGTTAATACACTTAGAGATATACACTTGCAGCTAGCAAGTTCGCCTCTGGTTCAACTAAAAATAGCTGCTTAGTGCTCGCAACATACGGCTAGTGGCTAACATCGTGGCTAACACCATGTAACATCATGGAAAGGACTATTTTCATGCTGTGCTCACCCCGTAAAGTGGCAACGGACAAAATGGATACATGTTGTGGCGTGTCGCCTGTTGTGCGCTTATCACAATTATAATCACAATTACCTTGATAGATGAAGACTACAGCAGGATGACGCGGTGGCACTATTGAGAAGGAAGGATGAGAACTACCGGTTGTCTCTGTTCACGTGCTGTACGGATTAAGTGGGAGTTAAAAACCGTCGCCTTCTGATTTGATTTGAAAATCTTTATTGTGCCCTAAGGGCAATTCAGTTTGCAACAGAAGTTAAAAACACATATTCTTACAATACCTCACACTGCAGAAATGCATACATCCAATACCACACACAAATACAGTAAATATATAAATACACAGAGTCAGCACAAACTAAGGGTGCATCATTTCCATCATGCCTGCCTACAGCTTGTTTAAAAAGCCAATGGCTGTTGGGACAAAGGATTTAAGGTACCAATATGATTTAGCCTTGCAAGTGAAAGTGTACCTTCTCTTAGACGAGAGAAGCTGAAACTCAGCATGAAGAGGATGGAGAGGGTTTGCCAGAATGGCCTTTGCCCTCTGAGTGGCTCTGGTTTTAAAAACAGAGTCAAGATCATTCAGACTCAAGCCAATAGTTTTTTGGCAGAGTTTGACAATACTCCTCAGCTTGTTTTTATTTGTGATGCTGAGGTTACCAAACCAACAGACCATAGCAAAAGTTAAAATGGACTCAATAAAAGACGAATATAACATTTAAAGAAGCTTTTTGTCAACATTAGAACACCTCAGTTTCCTCAGATAAAATAATCTCTGATTTGCCTTTTGGCAGATGGCATCTGAGTTGGTCTCAAAGGAAAGTTTGTCATCCAGGATGGTGCCTAGATACTTGTACTGGTTTACAATCTCTACCTCTTTGCCATTAACAAAGGTTAAAGCTTTGACAGGTGGATTCTTTCTAAAATCTAGAATCATGTCTTTGGTTTTAGACACATCCCACATAGCAAAATTAGTCTGGCCCAGTAGTGGGCCACACAACTCACTCACACTCGGCCCACATATCGCAATGAATTACGGCACTTGGGAGGGCCACATCTGGTTGCCACATATGGCCCATGATTTTGCCATGTCTCAGCCACCTATATAGCCATATGTGGCCCTGTCCTGCCCTAGTGTTGGGCCAGAAAAGTTTTTGTTTTTTCCTAGATGTCAGCCACCTGTATGACCACAGCTGGCCCTAAGTAGGAACAGACAGGTTTCAGAACTGGTTCCAGATGTCAGCCTTAACTAAACCGTATCAAGCCAATTCTTCAATACACTCACTTGTCGTATTTGGCCCAGAAAACAAAATGCCCAAACAATGACAGTATCAAATATTTATTTATAAATACAATAACAATACAATACAATGTAAAAATGTCTGTACATTACACACTCTAAAGACATCTAAATAACGAACACAAATGCCCCCAAAAAGAAAATCACACTCTGCTGATTACAAGTTACAAGTAGTGAAATATGCAGCTGAAAACAGTAATCAAGCAGCAGAGTTAGTCTTCCTACAATGAATAGAACAAAAAAAGCTTTGCAGGCTAAAAGCTAGATGGCCACAACTAGAGGAATGAGTTTACAAATGGGTGCCATCATTAATTTCTCCTTTCCTCTTCATTGCTCTTCCTCTGCATCCATTCTTTCCTCCCACCATCTCGATCAGGGGCCAGGTGTAGCCATCTCTTCACAGTGGTATCAATTTCCTGGTCAGTGGCCCCACTCATTAGTCTGTTGCACCTCACGGCAGCTAGAACATACATATAAACATGAATTCCATTAGCCATTATTCCATTAACCAAATTCCACTAACCAGGTCTTAGTGACATTCTGATGTGACATCTACACATAAGGCATGTAATTTTGCAGATTTTGCCGTAATGAGCTGGCACTCTAGGAGAAAGTATATCTGAACTAGGCTTTCCACGGTTTGAGATTTTGCAGTACAGTACAGTGACAGTACCATACACCGCGGTATCTCACGGTGACGATATATATATAATAAAAAAAACTTTACTAGGGGCTATGAAATGACAACCAAAGCACACAAGGATCATCCTCAAAAGAAAACATTGCTTTATTTAAGCAAAATGTGTGTCTGTCTGTGTGGTGTGTCTTGTCTAACCGGTGAAGGAGGGGGCTGCGGGCCAACTGGGTCCGCGCTCGAGCATATTATCTCTGCCTCTGGTTCGGAGGAGTCTGCCATCATCATGCCATGCTTTGTGCACGCTTCCTGGAATGGATCATGTGGATATGGCGGGGCGTCGCCTTAGGTGTGTTTGATACCAAAACTACCTTTCCTGGGGGGTGCTTGATTGTTGGACTGAACCATTTACGGGGGGCAGCGCATTATCATCATGGGCATGGCAGCCTGCCCAGAACTAATGGAATATACAATCGTGTTTTTTCCAGCACTCCGCAGCATCACACAGGTAGGAAATGGTTCAATATTTTGGTGCTGCTGTCTTACTGTAGCCCAGACTGACCACTAATGTTAATGTGAACCTGAAGTGATATCTTTATTATGGCAAGTCGCGCTTGTGTTGAGGCGTAACGTGCGCTTTACACGCCGGCGGCGCTACATAATATTGGAATTACGACACCATGAGCTCAGCAATCTCACGGTGTCGCCACCGTGACTGTATTTCACCGCAATGACGTGTATACGGTATACTGCGGAAAGCCTAAACTGAACGTTGTATCACACAATCACACAGTTTAAAAATGAGTAGTGTTATGTCCCATCCCATCCCAGGTTACGTGGTGGAGTAGTATGGAACCCAAGAAGGCACATGACGGCTTATTTTAAATCTTGTGTGGCTCCATGTGATCCAAAACACAGTTTGCCACAATTTCTTTAGGAAAACACAATAGCAATGGCATGAATTGGTATAAGGCTTTCTACTGAAGTTCTACTCTACTGAACTGAAGCAAAATTAGTCTATACATGTAGAGCAACATTCTTAAAGGGGACCTGCCATCAAAAATGTAATTTTGTGTGTTTTTGTGTCAGATAAGGTCCATATTCTGTTCGTCTTGTGTTGTAAATGTGAAAACAAACCGTTCCGTCGTTTGCATTCTGTAAAGGTTTAAAATAAAGAAACGGGTAAACCAGGCCAATTGAAAAAGCAGGTCCTTCTGACGTCGCGCTGACCTTGCTCATTATTATTCACGAGCGCGTCCTCGGTGAGCCGCGCCCACTCTCTCGTTCCCATACTCATTCACAGTCAACATCACTCTCCAGCCAGAGCGAGACCCAGCTTCCGCTGTATCCACTATGGGTCTCTTCCAAACGACCGGTGTTTCCTTGGGTTCACTGCCGGGAAAATGAACTAAAAGCTGGGCAGAATGAATGAGAAAACACAGCTGGAGCTCTCCGGCTTCTTCTTCAACTTCCACCTCCTCTTCGGACTTGGGGTCTAAAATATATGGTTTAATACCTGCCATTTTTAGCCTTTAGCATAAGGTGACCTGACGTCCCCGATTTCCAGGGACAGTCCCCGAATGAGATGACCTGTCCCTGGCAAAAGCTGTCCCCGAAAATGTCCCCGATTTAAGCGTTTCATGAATGAGAACAAAAATGTTGCGTGTGGGCTCGAACAACGGTTATTACAGTAGCCGAATGGGTAGGAAGCACAAGTAAGCAGTCCTGAACAAAAGTTCTTACGGGGGTTATTACAAGGGGCATGCGCTGCTACTAAATAGTAGTAGTAGATTTTGTCTGTGATCATGCAGCCCCTGCAGCCCCTGCACCCTCCCCGCCGCCGAAACGAATATTCCCGGATATCATTACAGACATCTGGGCACCTTACTTTAGCACACATTAGCAAAATGGATAAACCGAAATCCGAACCTCCACTGCTGAGCCAATCAGAGCACAGCAGGCTTCACAGCAGCGATCCAATCAGAGCAAAGCTCATTATCATAAATGTTAATGAGCCAAAATCTGTTGGTTTTCCTGTAAGGTTTTTTAGGCATACTAAAACAAACCATCAAATAACTTTTCAGCTAAAATTATGATGCAAACATGATCAGAGGACATCAAGGATTATGAAAAAATGATAAAAATGGGTATGAAATTTTGATGGCAGGTCCCCTTTAATTCCCACCACCTAACCAGTTTTCTATAAACAGAACTGAGTCCTACTACCTCTACTGACATAATAGATAAAATCATGTTGTTGTTTTTATCTCCCCTACCATACTTGTCAGCTCACCTCTTTGTCTTCCTCCACCCTCCTCTGGTCTCTTCTTATTCCTTTTCTTTAATCTCTTCCTGCACCCCTTCCTTTTTTCTCCCTTTTCTCCCCTTCCTTTTTTCCTCATCTTATCCTCTCTTTTTCATTCCCTAAGAACCCAAATGTAAATGTGAATAACTTTTGATGACTCTTAAACATGAAAGACAGTACTGGCATCAAGGTAAACTTACCAAACACCACATCCCTTATGCGTAGGCGCTGGAAGCCAATCTTCCCGTTAAAGCCTCTCATATTAATGTTCTTGGCTAAGGAGTTTGTTATTGTGGCCTGCATCACATTCCAAACACTCTCTTGGATGTCGGTCCCTCCTTTCAGACCCAGTGTTTTTGCCTGAAATCATACATTACTTCTTTCGGCAATATTAAAATAATCAAGTATTGTAATCGTCAAAGTCTAGGAATAATCTTAAATGCAGTTCAAACTGTTTTCCTCCTCACAAATTCCAAATATTAGTATTCCTATCCCATACTATGTCCAATGACTCGTGTCACATTGCTATACAAATAATCTTTAGATTAATTCAACCCACATGAAACAGCAGAACAAATATACCGGTACATAATTTCCTAGCATTTTCCCATATGAAGGGCATAAAGGAAAAAGCAAGGAAATTAGGTAGCTGGACACGGGATCATTTTTCATTCACTACCATGTTTAAGGGCAGAAAATATCAAAGTTTGGAACAGGAATAAGTGTGCATTTTTCAACTAGTAGTGATAAAAGTAATTCAGTAGTTGTAAATGTACTGGGAGTCTAGGGAATCACCAAGATGGATTACTTATTCATGGTAACCATCAGATTAAAATTTCAGTGAAGTTTTCCACATTTTTTAAATACTACTGAGACTACATGTGACTAAAAGGGAATTTTTCTGAGATGCCAAACTTGAAAACCAGAGTGCACAGTTTTGAAATAAATACTTGGAATGTAAAAAATAATATTATGGGAGTTATTTTAGTCTGATATGAGGAACAAAAAGGCATTTGTGGAAGATAAAAGCTAATAGCTGCCCGGTGTTTTGAGAACGCCAGAGGGGGACAGACCGGCTGCACAGCGCTTTGAATGGAAGTGAATGATACAGCCTCTAGTTTACATTATTATACTGGAAGAAATCTATAGACTTCATACTGGTGGGCCAATAATAATACAAATATGATACGATCTTATGGGCCAGATATAATTGTTCAGCATTATCAGCATTATCATTCACATATCAATTACTTATGATCTTTACCTCAGGGAATCGGGCAAAGGTTTGTTGTGGGCTTTGTCTCCCTCAGCAAACTCAAAATCACATATTATATTAACTCTCCCTAACAGAGAAGGATCATTTTCTATGTTTTCTGATACTAGATTTGGCTGCAGAATCTCTTTTCTGTTTTACCTATTTTCCATGTTTGTGACTTTCTTTTCTCCACCTTCTCCTTATTGCTTTCTAGCTCTGCAAGCCTAATCTTTAATTTATTCATAAATAGTGTTGGCCTTCACTTTTGAACATGTCCAGTACTTTTAGTTCCAAATCTCTTGTTTTTGCGTGTTTTACTTTTATCTTTGTGTTTATGCTCTTAAATTCACTGCTCCAAATCCTCACACACAGTCACATCAGATGTGCCTCCTTTAGGTCATAAAAATTCAAACCCCTTGACTCAATGTCCCCATTTCTTTTGTAAGTTTTTGGATATCATTTAAGTGTTCATGATATTTAAACCCTACCAATGCAATTGGAGTTAAACTAATCTTCCCTTTCTGGTCATGGTTTTTGTAGAATTTATTATTCAAATGAGCACACACATTAAAACTCGATCCCCAGCAGTTTTGTAAAATTCCCAAAAAATACACAGTATAAAGCTTTTGCCTTAACTGAAGTTCTATAGTCAGTGTTGATATTAACAGCTTCAATAATATTTAAAAAACACAGTATTTTGGCAGAAACAGCAAATGTATAGAAGCAACCCTTTGATTTGAAGTTTTAGAAGTTTTGCACTTGTGGTACCTCATTTCTTTTTCCCCTTTTTGTATCTTTTATACTTTCACAAACATTATTTCAGCAGCTTTAACACAGAAAATTTGTTAAGGAGCATAAGACGTGTAAACAACAAAAAAAATCATAATAATATTGAAGCATAAGCTAAAACCTTCATATCAGGAGTGTTCATCATGGTACTAGGAACAGAACCTCTTTCCCAGGAGTATTTAACCTTCTATGTCTCAACTGATAACATGTCCGCAATGAGCACAGTATTCACATAAACAACTATGAAATAAACACAAGTGAGGAAAACACAGCAATCTTTGAATAACATAACACACACAGAGATGCAGAGTCTGGCTGTGAACACTGCCAGAGAACTTAGTTGACACAGAGCAAAACGGACACACACAAAGATCCAATCAACCCACACGGTATACCCTTTCACACGTGTTTGAAGTCAAAGTCAGTCACTGGAGTCAGTCAGCAGTCTTTTACTTTAAATTAATTTAAGTGTTTTGTACTTTTTTAACATTCCTACAATTCCTGTGTTGAGGATCAGTCCTCAGTTTTTATTCCTGATTCTTGTTTTGATTTTTCCAATTTGTGTGATTTTTCTACAATTGGTCAGGAGATATGGGATGTGCTTGTTCAATTGGGATCCCTGAATAGGCTTTTCAGCCGATCCTTATTGACCTCTTTTTCTATCTCCTGCTCATCAAGCCAATCTGTATCTGTAATTTAAGTCCAATTATAACACTGATTTTGTGAGGTCTTTGATATATAAAAGAGATATATATATGTACATTTCAAATATGTAATATTCCGTCATTATACTTATTCGGCCCTCTAGAGTCTGGATCAGAATTTATAAGGAAATATGCCACTTTCGTTCTCCTTTTGGCTTTTTCTTAAGCCTCAGCGGAACTCCGCATGACAAATCCTCCTTTCTAGTGGAGTTTTCCAGAAAGAAAATCCACGTATGTATTACTAGATGAATCTGCTCGTCCGTCGGCTACCACCTTTCAGAGCTCATAAAAGAATGACCTAAAACTCACAGTTCAACAATGGACAGACACACTCGTGCCTGCCACTCCCCTTGTTATCCCAACAATTACCCAGAACCTTTTATCACCAGGCATTCAGCCTAAAAACACATCACAACCCGGGCCAGGCTGTCTCCCCAAACTACTGGCCTGTGCTGCACCGCACCCAGTCTAGCTAGTTCCACTTAACTACTGGCCTTGTGCCTCTCTGCACCCAATCTATAGCTTCACATATGACAGTCTCACACATATAGCAGCGTGAGGCGGTCTCACACATTGAAGGAGACGAAGTGCTTCTCTGCACCCAGTCTATAGCTTCACATATGACAGTCTCACACATATAGCAGTGTGAGGCGGTCTCACACATTGAAGGAGACGAAGTGCTTCTCTGCACCCAGTCTATAGCTTCACATATGACAGTCTCACACATATAGCAGTGTGAGGCGGTCTCACACATTGAAGGAGACGAAGTGCCTCTCTGCACCCAGTCTACTAGTTTCATATAGTCTCACACGTATAACAGCGTGAGGCGGTCTCACACAACCAACTGCAGTTTCCCCTATATTCAGCTGATATATATTCAATTTAAATTGGCTTCCTCTCCCAAATTTAGCACACTTTGATCAGCTGACTGCATGCATGCAGTTTTCTCAGACTGTCTTCATTCCCACTGTCTCCTCTTATTTCTATTCTAGGTTCTTTGATTCGAAGAGGACAGAGAACAGTAGTCCGCACCACCTCACAGGGAAAATAACTCTCAACTAAATTTTAGGAAATCTCCTACCTTTTTCTTTTTGTGTGCACAGAGTGTCCTTATCCCATGAGAAGTTTGCAGAACCATGGTCCCTTGTCCCCCGTAATGAATTCTGGCTAAAGCTCGTCATTATGTTGTGGAAAATCCAGCATAAACTCAGTAAAACAATGCACAGGAGACAGTATGAGATCTGAAGAACAGCCTGGGCGTCTTTAATTGTACAGATGTAGAAATCAGTACAGATGACAAACAGAGTCTCGACCAAGACCAAAGGAAGCCTCCCTAGCTTTTCTTCTACTCTCTTTTATGCTGTTAGGTGTGTGTGTGTGTGTGTGTGTGTGTGTGTGTGTGTGTGTGTGTGTGTGTGTGTGTGTGTGTGTGTGTGTGTGTGTGTGTGTGTGTGTGTGTGTGTGCAGAGGGCTGCCCATGGCAGAGATTAGATGTTCCAACAGACAGATAGTTCGGGCTCCTGCAAGACAGCCTAGGGTCATGAGGCTGCAGGAGCAGGCCAACCTAGATTATTTGTAGCTCCTTACTAAAAGATAATTACTCTATATTTCTTAACCTAAATGTATGAAGAGATTCTCCTACACGGGCTATTTAACTAATCAAATATGCCATCATATGCCTCATCTTGGCGCTGGTAATGGCGACAGGCAGCAGCAGCTCCCGTGTGCTCTGTGTTTTCTAACCTGTCCTGTCTCGTTTTTACATCATTACTAACACTCACCCTAAGATGATCCACATGTGATAAAGCTTAACCATATTGGTTTGACGGGCATCACTGTCCTCTGGATACTTTTATTCCACTTTATGTGCGGACTCTGCGAGCACAAGGAACCGCTCCAATATGGCCGAGTTTCTCCTGCGTTTTCGCAGCTCTCCTGGCCTCCTGAACAATACCAGCTAGTATGCACTGTGGTCACTTTACTCCCTCTCTTCTGTCCCTTATCGTGGTATTGCACTTATGTATTGTCATTTTGTATATTTTTAATCCTTTTAACCTGTCATGTTATTGCTGTGTATTTTAATGTTGCCTCTGTTTTGCTGCTGGCTGCACCACAAATTGCCCCTCGGGGACAATAAAGATTTCTTGACTTGACTTGATCAAATGACTCCAAAACGGTCGTGTGGACGACTGGTAGGTTGGGAAGTCCCCATGCTAAAAAAAGATAATTTAATATTACAAGACAGATCTGTTTTTAAGTGGAATGATTGGAACTACTTCCTTTCGCATAAAATCCCTCCGCCTGGCGCCTCCCGGTGGTCCATTTATCTTAAATGAATCATCAGCAAATTTTATGATGAACCTCGAATCAAACATACTCTTACAGTCATTAGTGTAGAGCATGAACAATAAAGGGGACAGAACACGCCCCTGAGGTGAGCCTGTGGAGCACAGCGGGGTCTCAAAAAGACAATCATTGACACAAGTTCTCTGTGGTCTTGCTGTCAGAAAATCAACGAGCCAACATATGGTTCCAAAGTTAATGCTGGGTATTTTTGAAAGTCTGTTAGCAAGAACATATGGCTGCATGCAGTTAAAGGCTGAAGAAAAATCAACAAAGCATAAAACTGCATGTGTCTTCCTACCCTCAGGGTGCTTTACAACTAAATTCAACAGTGTTGCCACTGCATCCTCAACCACTTTCCTGGATTGATAGGCAAATTGGAGTGGATCAATCACTGCCTGTGCCATATAAAGTAACCCCTTCTTCACTAAGCGCTCAAAACTCTTCATTACTACTAATGTGAGGGCCACGGGACGATAGTCATTCAGTATTTTTGGTGATGGGACTTTTGCCATGGGAACAATAATGGATTCTTTCCACAGTGAAGGAACTTTAAGTGACAAAGACTGCTGAAAAATAAATGCAAAGATTCCACTTAAGAATGGGGCACAGCATTTAAGTAGTCAACCGCTAATGCCATCGGGCCCCTGACTTTTCCTTACATTTGCCTTTTCAAAAGTGCTCCACACACTGATTTCATCAATCTGAATCTGACTGCTTACTGGGGCAGCCCTGAATATGGACAGTTCATCAGAAAAGTCATTTGAAACAAATCTTAAAAAAAATTGATTTAATTCAGCTCTGTCAGCATTAGACACTCTTTTTCTGTCCTTGATTCCCACCATAGATTTTATTCCCCTCCAAGCAGAGCGAGAATTACCAGCTTTAAGTTCATCTTGGACTTTGTCCTTGTACTGCCTTTTTGCCAGCTTAATTTCCCTTTTTACTAGTTTGTGTGCTTCTTTTTTTTGAGTGATGTCTCCTTGATAATAAGCCAACTTCTTCTTATTGAGAGAGTTTTTTAAGGATTTACTGACCCAAGGCTTATTATTGGGATACACTGTGATTAGCTTCCTTGGGATGATTGACTCTTCACAGAAGGTGATGTAGCTCACAACAGTGTGGGTCAGTTCATCTAGATCGGAACAAGATTCTTTAAAAACATCACAGTTAGTGCTCTGCAAACAACCATTCAGTTCACGAATAGCACTCTCTATCCACATAGCAACTTCTTTGCGCTCAACCTTGCCCCTTTTGAGGGCCAGCTGGTAGACAGGAGCAAGAAGGACACAGTTATGGTCCGAGGAGCCAAGTGGAGCCAGTGGGAAAGATTTAAAAGCCCCCTTCATAGTGCCATACCACAGGTCCAGTGTTTTCCCATCTCGTGTTGGACAATTTACATGTTGGTACAGGGGGCCAAGGTGTTTTTCCGACTGCAAGTGTTGAAATCACCAAGAATAAAATGTGGGGCATCGGGGCAAATACTTTGCATTTGATGCACAAGTTTAGCAATGGAGGAGGCTGCTTCTGCCATATTAGCTCTGGGGTGTATATAAACCACAGATAGGAAGATTTGTGGAATTTCCCGTGGCAGATAGAATGGATGCAGTGAGACGGATAAAAGTTCAATGTGGGCTACATATAGATTCTCTCACTTTGACAGTCTTGCATCAGCGAGAATTAACATACAGGCACACGCCCCCTCCCAGTGATTTGCCGGTGATGTGTGCATCACGATCCAGCCTGTACGGCTGACCGAAGCTGTCAATTTCAAAATCCTGATTCAGATCATAATCCTTAAGCCAGGTCTCAGTCAGAACGATCACACAGGCATTCCTGTACTCCGGAATATGCTTCACGTTCGCCTGAAGCTCATCCACTTTACTCCTCAGAGACTGTACATTGCCGAAGACAATTGAGGGAAGTGGCAAGCGGCAGAGTCCGAGTCTCCACAGCTGCTGACAGACACCTCCTCTCCGGCCTCGCTTCCTCGTTTGAGCCGCTGTCTGCTGCTGACAGCCTCCGGCTTTCTGGAGCATTGTACGCCTCATCCACGCCAATGTCAGCCGATCCGGACGACAAACACCAACCCAGTCCCTCCGGATCTCTGGCGGAATGCCATCAAGTGAGATCCCCGTCGGAATGCCATCAAGTGAGATCCCCGTCACTGAACTGTTGCAGCGGATAAGAAAATCATAGCTGTACGTGAGCCAGGGCGGCCGGTTGCTCCGGTCTAAGTTAAAAGCAGTCCCGATGGCAATCAGGTTTAGGAAAAAAGCGCCCATAAAATCCATGATGACTCAAGTATTAAAAAATAAATAAATAAAAGGCAGACGGTTAAAACCAGTAAGAAAGCCCTGGTTAAACTCACTTAAAAACACAGTTTTTCACGCAATCACTCAATCATTCTCACACACTGCTGCTGCGTGTCGCCATGCCAGCACCACCATCCCTGTTGTTTCTTCTTTTATTTTTACTTTTTTTGATCAGGGATTTTTTTATTTTTCAAATATAACAAACACAAGAAATATGATTCACACATGGGACAAACAAGATTAGTTCCTGTCCAAACATACAAACTTCCCGTACCCCCCGCCCACTTGTACTGGAACCCAAGAAAAATTCAACACATCTAGATTGACACATACACAGACTAGGTAAATAAAAAGAAGACTATAACGAAGTGAAAATGAAGAAGAAGAAAAAAACAACAACATACATTTGGGTTACATAGACATGTTAATAGCTGCCGTACCTTCCACAAAGGAGATAAATGGCTTCCAAATGACATAGAATTTTCTAGTGGTCCCTCTTACAGTATATCAAATTTTTTCTAAATGGACATAACTCATAACTTCCCTTATCCATTGGCCATACGTTGGGGGGGGGGGGGGGGCATCTTTCCATTTAAACAGGATAAGTCTCCTGGCCAACAAAGAGCAGAAGGCCATCATACCTAGGTGGTTCCCGGAAAAAGCGGCACCCACCGGAGCCACACCAAATAGTGAAATCAAAGGAGATGGGTGCACTGTTTTTATAACATGGGGCACGACCAAAACATGTGCAGTAGTGTAGCAGGAGCTTGTCTGCAACGATCACATGTAGGGTCTTTGGTCCAATGAAGACGGTGAACTATTTTGAATTGAAGTACAGTGTGTCTGAGGCATATAGAGGAAGAGTAAATTCGCCGAATAATTTTTTGCCATGTTTCCTCTGAAATCGTTTGATCTAAGTCGGTTTCCCACTTTATTCTAAGGCCGTCCAGACTGTTCATGTTATGTGTATTGAGTAATGTATAAATTATGCCTATTATTTTTTTTATGTTGACTTTGGATTTCAAAATTGTTTCAAGCAGAGATTCAGAAGGGCTCAGTGGAAAACAGTCAGAGTTGGAAGACACAAAACCTCTAAGCTGCAAATACCTGTAGAAGTGTGATTTGTTAAGGCCATATTTATGTTGCAGCTATGCAAAAGAAGCAAACTTATTTTCAATGTAAACATCAGATAACATACATATTCCACTTCTTACCCAGACATTAAAAGCATCATCCGTCATTGATGGGACAAACATATGATTTTTTATCAATGGTGTAGCCAGTGAAAGATCAGTGAGATTAAAGGTCCTTCTAAAGTGGTTCCAGGTTTTAATTGAATGGATAACAACTGGATTAGTAGTGAAAGCTGAGATAGGCTGATCCAAAGGTAATTTAGAACATAGTAGAGCTACTGGGGAAGAAGAACCAATGGATGCCCTCTCCAGCCCTGTCCATTCAGCACTGTTAACATCCGAGCCATCATCTCTCATCCAATATAGCAAAGCTCTCATATTGGCAGCCCAGTGATAATACATAAAATTTGGAAGTGCCATACCTCCCATTGTGCGAGGCCTCTGTAATATACTTTTATTAATCCTGGGCTGCTTTTTATGCCAAATAAATGATGAAATCTGACTGTTTAATTTGGAAAAAAAAGATTTTGTTAGAAAAATAGGGAGACATTGAAATAGATATAGAAACTTAGGGAGAACGTTCATCTTAATCGTGTTGATCCTTCCCCCTAAGGAGAGAGGCAGGGGGTCCCAACGCTCCAGGGGCCTCATGTATCAACACTTGCGTGGAACTCATACCAGAAACGAGCGCACGCAAGGTCCGTAACGCTGAAAAAAATCCGTATGTATCAATGTGTGCGGGCGCCGAAATCCACGTGTGTTTCCTTGATAAATCCCAATCAGCGTGGAATTGAGCGCAGATGTCAGAGTGACTGGGCCCGTCCCCGTTACGCCCTCCTATAAATATGCATATTTAATTAAATAAGGTCTCCCTGTCCTCGCACGCAGACAAAATGACAAGAAAAACTAAATTTACGGCGTGCGAGGTGGAGGAGCGACAGTGTGTTTTGTTTGGCAGCCTGTCCAGTGGCGTCAGTGCAAAACAAAAACGCTTGGAGTGGGAGAAAGTTTGCGAGAGGGTGAATGCGGTGGGTTCCGAGACATGCACCCCCGCGGAGATTCAAAAAAAGTGGTCGGACCTCAAGGTGGAGGTCAAGCGGCGTACAGCTGCCCTCCAGAGGAGTACTGGCCAGACAGGTGGGGTTCCGGGGAGGAGACCCTCACGCCGTTTGAGCAGCGGGTGGTGGTGATTATTATTATAGGGTAAGTGGCGTGTCACACAAATGTCCACATGCTTTGTCATCCCACTGAGCAAAAGACGTATATTAGACATCTAGTCTAAGTTTATACTTCATTTCAACGTCGGGATTCAGTCTATTTTTAGACGTGATTTATACCTCGCCCTTAACTTCATTTTCGATAACTTTTTATGCAATAAACAACTGTAATGTGCATAACCGAAATACTGGATTACATTACCTATGATACCGTGGAGAGAGATGTAAACGCAACAGATACACAGAAGCAGGAATTGAAATGAACTAATATTTTTATTGTGTCACAGAAATCAATATGTCGGCCGTGTCGCCGGCTTGCGGAACCCCGGCCCGCGGCAGCCCGTCCGCCGGCTCGGAGTCGTCGGCCAGGACCAGCGGCATTCGGGCCACCCCGGCCCCCGGCCCCAGCACCAGCACCAGCATCAGCTCCAGCGCGCCGACAAGCGGTGGAGCGTCCACCAGCCGCGGCGTTTCCGCTGGACCACCCGGACGCAGTGGAAGGGTCCTCGCGAAGGGGGTTGTGCAATCGCAGGAAGAAATCATCAGGGGGATCGCGGGGATCAACGAGCGGCTGGACCGGCTCGTAAATGTCCTCGAGCGTCTGGTGGAGAAAATAAATTAATTTGGCTCATTGAACTGTGTATTCACTTCTTACCCATTCACACTGTGGCGATGAGATTCTCCCGCGCGAGGACGGCGGCCCGGCAGGGATCAGCTCGCATCCCTCCGTCTGCTGCTGGTTCGTCATGTGGGGCGACGTGCTGCTCGGCCACGGGGATGTGGTGCACGCTTGTCACATAGTGAGTCACCAAACACCGCCACACAGCGTCGCCAAAGTGCGAATCACAGTCAACGCAAGTATCAGCTCAACGCCAATTTCAACACCACCTCCTGACTTTGCGTTGATTAGCGCTGGAACCGACGCTCGTTTCGCGATGATAAATCTGGACGTGTGCGCCGATTTTGGCGTACGCAAGGTTTTCTTGCGCCGCAAGCGTTGATACATGAGGCCCCAGGTCTTGTTTAAGATTACTTAAGAGGGGATGATAACTAGCCTGATAAAGATCCTTGTGATTACGTGTGACCCAAATACCAAAATATTTTATTTTGTTGGAACTAAATTTAAAGGGGGTATTCCCAAATTATGATCTGAATTATGCTTTATAGCCAGATAGTTTTCCGAACTTTGTGAGTAAAGTTGTTAATTCAGGAGGACTTGAGAGGGGGTCCGATATAAATAATAACATGTCATCGGCATAAAGTGAGACTTGCTCCAAAAGTATGCTCAAAACCTGCCCGGTATATCCCTTTAATGGTGGGGCACTGCCTCAAGGCTACTGCAAGTGGCTCAAGTGCAACAGCAAACAAAAGCGGTGACAGAGGGCACCCCTGTCATGTGCCCCGCTTCAGCTCGAAATAGGTGGATAAATTATTGTTGGTGCAAACTGCAGCTATCGGAGGTGTGTATAGGATTCTAATCCAGGAGATGAATTTAGGACCGAAACAAAATTCTTCCAGAGTCTTGAAAAGATAGTTCCACTCCACCCGATCAAACATTTTTTCAGCATCGAGAGAAAGCGTCACCTCAGTGTTCCCAGGATCAGGTGGAGTGGGACAATAAAGGATATTAAATAAACACCTGATATTAAAAAATGAATAGCGATTTCTTATCAATCCTGTCTGGTCAGATGTAATAATACTAGGTACAATGTTTTCGAGACGACACGCCAAAATTTTTGCAAGAATCTTTGTGTCTGTAATCAGCAGCGAGACCGGACGATTTGAGCTGCAATTGAGGGGGGTTTTAACCTTTTTAAGTAATAAAGAGATGACGAAATAATTTGACCCCTTAAATATGCCTTTAGCGACTCCCATACAATAGATGATGACATCCCTGGGGTTTGATTGATGTCAAGAAACATTTTGATTTCAGATGATATGATTTTAGTGAACTCACCATCTGACAGAAGCAAGGAGTTAAACAGCCATGGACGGTATGATGATTGTGTATCGGGAATGTATATTTTCATGATTAAGGGACTATGATCTGAAATAACCATAGCCCTGTAGTCACATTCTTTTGTAAGATGCAGAATTCTTTTATCCAGGAAAAAGTAATCGATGCGTGAATACGTCTTGTGAACCGGAGAGTAGTAAGAGTACGACCTGGAGGTGGGGTTGCAAAACCGCCATACATCTGCTACACCGTAGGTCTTCAGAAAGAGCTGAATAGATTTGGCCGACTTTGACTGGGATGCCCTCTTAGAAACACTCCTATCTAAGAGAGGAGAAAGTGCACAGTTAATGTCACCACCAAGTATAAGATAATGTGAAGTCATATCTGGCAAGGGAGAGAAAAAATTGGTAAAGAATGTGGGGTCATCCCAGTTCGGTGCATAAACACAGGCTAAAATAACAAGGAGTGAATATAATTTTCCTACCACAATGGCATATCGCCCTGCAGTGGTCAGTCTATTCAGTGTCTTCCTGTCCCTCTCGGTGCTCCCTGCCCCCCAGCAGACCACTGCATAGAAAAGTGCAGATGCTACCACAGAGTCATAGAAAGTCCTGAGCAGAGTCCTGCACACTCCAAAGGACCTCAGTCTCCTCAGCAGGTGGAGACGACTTT